CAACGATTTACTTCGAATCTGGTTGCAAGGCCCACAAAAGGGTGACAAATCAATAAAGGACTAATTAAAAAAGACGAATGTTGTATCAGTTTCTGCCGAGCATTTATCTACGGTGGATGAACTCACGTCTTGACCGCTATAATGACCCCCGCTATGAAACCACCAGGAATGGCTGGATGGCCTGAGGTAGCCCATTGGATATATTTTTTTCTATGTATTATGCAATATTCTTAAAGTGATGCACTTGATTAAACTCTTGCAAACTCACTGTTATTCACACCTGTTTATGTTGATGATAATTAACTGTTCCGTTGTGCCCTCCTAAGTTGGTGAGCATTTCGGTTTCTTGAGCAGCTGACCTCTTACCTGTCACCTTTGCTCTCCCTGGAAATCAGCGATCTCAAGGTCATTTCTGTTGTGGCAGTTTTGCTTGGCTAGTTTCAACTTGCTAATAGCGCTCGACCCTTCCTCCGGTCTCCTTGATCCTTTAAAGCATCTTTTTCCAGGTGCGAATTTGCGGATTGCATAAACAGCAGAATTCAATGGATCTATACATTTCAAGAGCTCTCATCAGCTGCTTCCTCTTGTGCATAACGTGAGTAAAGTATGAGAAAATACAAAATGAAATTCGTACGGAAAGGTCAATAAAGTCACATGACCTGGTCACGAAAGCTAATCACTAAAGTAAGCAAAGCAAAACAAAATGGAAAGAGAAAAAGGTGTGTAAAAAGGCATTAAAGCAGAAAAAGGTGGACAGGGAACTGTGTGAATCAGAGATCCAGATATTACCAAGGCAAAGTTAGGCTAACCACATGCACCAACTGTTTACATAGGTCGGGGCTTGACCGCCGTATAAAGGCTGCCTCCAAATGGGGCAAGGTACGAGGTGTTCGTACCCGAACAAGTACTCTGAAATAAGTTTTGGGGTCCACAGAAGGATCCGTATCTAGCAGGTCTTCAGTAATGGATAAACAAGAGTTCTATCTTCCTGTTTTAGTAGCCAACTAGGCAAGTGCTCCTCGGCTCTGGCTTCCAAGTGCCGTTGCGTTCTCATACGTTACTCATAACGAGAGGTAGCAGCTGATGTGCACTCTCGAACTTCATGGATCCATTAAATTCTGCGCTTCTTGACTCTGTCATAACACTGGACACAGACCAGCGAGGTAGGAGACAGTGCGGTAGATACAGCGTCAGTCTACTGTCCCTTAAAACTAACGTACGCGCAGGTTTTGGCCTTTGCTTTCAGCTTGCTGAAGCTTCTGGTGAAAATTGTTGACCTTGACGTTCGAAGTGTCCTTAGTGTGGGCGCGGACGATCGAGTTGTATGACAAGCAAAGACCTTATCGGTATACTGCTGAAATAGAGTTCGTCTGCGATCCACGGACTCGAATTTCATTTGACAACTATGTGAAATAAAGCACACACACCCTCTTTCCAGACTGCTTATTCTGTTAGTTCGAGCTCCAGACGACAAATGAGCAATGCTTTTGCCCCTAAAGTTGACCAAAAAGGAACACACTGAAAAATAAGAACGTTTGAATTAAATGCTGTGTTTGAGTTGGGGAGCTTCCCCTCCTGCTGGAGGCCAGGGCGAACTTCCAAACACATTTTAGCGTGACAAAATGCAAATTAATCTCAGGTTGCCAAAAGCATCTCGGTTGCAAAGCAACCCATCCATTGCTGCCTTCCTCCAAGACATCCCTCCATCAAAGTGGGATTGCAAGCAGTAATCAGTCCGTTGACCACTCCTGCCCACTCCCTGGGGTGCAAAACGTGGAAACTGACAGGTACGCGCGTCCACTTCCCTTTTTCTATTGC